AGAATTGTACTTCCCTTTTTTTGTAATCTAATAAAGATAATTAAGTCTTATAATAAAAGATTAAGACTAGTATGTACTGATAATCTTGTTTGTATAAATAGAACTTTCCTGAAGATCAGAGAGCGGGAGCTAGCCATACAGTCTGCAGGTCTGTACAGACAGACAGGAAGTTATATGCCTGGTTGGAGAAAGGAAGCGATAAGGCAGGAGGAGACAGGAGTTCATCTGTTTTTTGCTGGGAAGTTTTCTGCTGGAAAGGTAGCTGCGGTTTTACTCCTTGGTCTCTGTGATCTCTCAGCATTTTCCCCTATATCTGACCTCAAGTGTTTATTATTAAGACCTAATAGAAAGCATGATACACTAGTAAAAGAAAATTCTTTAGGTATAAAAAGCCAAACCTTACGAAGGTTTCTTTTTGGGGGAAAGAGAGAGAGAGACAGAGAGACAGAGAGAGACAGAGAGAGAGAGAATTGAAAGGAGGGCAAGAAGTAACGTGATAAGGGCTGAAGAGTTGGGATATTTGTTTGCTCTTGAAGACCTGGGTTCAGTTCCCAGCATCCACATGTCAGCTCACAACCATCTATATAACCCCAGCTCCAGGAAATCCAATGTCCTCTGCAGGTCGAGGCATTGTGCACATACATAGATGAAAGCAAAACTCTGAAAGATATAAAAATAAAATAAAACGTTTAAAAAATTTTAAAGCAGCTCAGAATTATAAAAATAAAAAAAGAACAGGGCAGTAATGATTGACTGTTACAGGACTGAATAAACAATATTGACAAAGCATACAACTGGTAACTGAGTCTAAATTTCCAGGAAGTGGTAGAATAATGTAGAGGGAAAAGGGAGGGCCAGGGCTAGAATAAGGAAACTAGCAAAAAAAAAAAAAAAAAACAGTAGTTTCCTCTTCCCATGTTCCTCAATATGAAAAATGTTAAACCTTTGGAAGTTACCAGCATAAAATATGGAAAAAAAGTTTCCCGTGCCTACTGATCTTTAGATGTCATAATATGTCAGAAATGTATTATTTTTCCCTTGCAGGCTATATTTTACACAGAATTCTCAAATTGTTCACTATCTTTAAAAAAGAAAGAAAAACTGCAGACACCTAGTATATTAGTTAGGATTTCTCTGTTGCAGTGATAAAACACCATGACCAAAAGCAACTTGGGAAGGAAGAGATTTATTTCCCCTCTATTTCCATATCACAGTTCATCATCAAAGGCAGCCAGGGCAGGAACTCAAAAAGGCAGTTATCTAGAGGCAGGGGCTGATTCAGAATCCATGGAGAAGTGCTGCCTTCTTCCTTAGCTGACTTCTTCCTAAGCTTCTCAGTTACCCAAGATAACCAGACCAGGGGTGGCACCGCCCACAATGGGCTGGGCCTTCCCACATTCATCATTAATTTTAAAAATGCCCTACAAGCATGCCTACAGGCACTGTCATAGAGGCATTTTCATAATTGAAGTTCCCTCCTCTTAGATAATGCTAGTTTGTCTCAAGGTAACATAAAGCTACCCAGCACATACATTTAGTAAGTTTAAAACACAGCAATTTTGCTAATAAATGAAGAAAAACTCTATACTAAGATGTAATAGAAGAAATTAAAGATAAATGATACAGAATTTAATGGAGGCTAATCTATAACTTGAAAATATTATGAAGACCTACGTGTAAAAAGGCTGAAAAGGAAAATCTGTTCTAGCATTAATTTTAAGTGTCATGAAGGAAAGATACTGTCTACCAATTAATTTGTGATAGTTCATCAATTGTGAAGTGTATTTCAATTTCAATAGACTACTTCAAAAATATTTGAGAATGAATATAAGGTAATTATAGCCCAAAGAGAGCATGGTGGCACACAACTGTAATTTTACAATATATAGAAACACAGGTAGAGAGTTAAAGGCTTGCCTGGGCTAGCCTGAGCTACATAAATATTCCAACCTGACAATTAATAAATAAGTAAACAAATTGGTTGGGGATAAGGCTTGGTGATAGAAAATTTCTTAGCACTCCCAAGGCATTTGGATCTTTGCTCACCAACACAAAAAGAGTTGGGGTGGGGGTGGGGGGAGAGGGATGCGCAAAGACATTGAGAGGGAAGAGAGAGAATTAATCTTAGTATATTGTATCGCAAGAACATGTGTTCTTCCAAATGTTCCTCTGATAAAATGCTAGGAATTGACTTGAACCACACACTAAATGCTATGTTTGAATGACCAGCCTTTTAAAGAGTTTGTCCCTCTCTTCTGGTTGATAACAGAGGAGCTGGAAGCCAGTCCTCGGGCTACTAAGTCAGCCTTGGCATTACCTAAGGCCACTGGGTCCTTGGAGAACTGGTGTCTCCACTAGTGAATTATGACTACTTCTGCAGGGAACTGGTGGGCCTATAATAGGAGCTTGGCTATCAGGGGTCCATTAACTAAATACCTTAAATTCCAGACCCTGTCCTCAGCCAGTAAATACAAAAGGTCACACACCTTGCTGCTTATCTGACTTCATAAACTGCTTGTGAACCAACCCCCACCCTCAGTGACCTAACCTAACTGCCATTTGTCACCCCACCTAGGAAAACGCACAAATGCAGACCTCCCGGGCTATACAAAACTGATTGGTCTATAAAGCATGGGCTTGGATGGTTCAAAATGATTGGCCCACACTCGGACCCCCCTGAATATGGGTCTCAGCCAGAAGGTCTGAGCAGTCTAAGAGACCTCAGACAGTGGAGCCAGGATGTATCCCTGGTGCACAAAAGGACTTTGCAAACATATCCCCCATGGAGGGATAACTGCCTTATTCTAGAGATAGGAGAGATGCCCTAGTCCCTACTTCATAGGACCTGTCAGATCTACATGACCCCAACTGGATGGCATTCCCCTACATATGGTATTGTGGTGGGGGGTTGGGAGGGGAGGGTGTTTAGAGTGCATGGGAGAGGGCAGAGAGGACAAAAGGGAGGGAAGGAGGGAGGGAGGGCTGGAGGGGAGGGAGGGAGGGAGAGGGAACTGGGATCGACATGTAAAATAATAAATTAAAAAAAAAAAAAACGCTTTGACTCCAAAATTTAACTTGAAGAACAAGTTACTGGGGAAAAGGATTTCTATTTTTGTTTCCACAGAAAATGAAAAGATGTGGATTCCTTCCAGACTAATGTGGTTTGATCACGCCAGACCGCCTGAAACAGAGTACAAGCTGATCCTACATTCCAAACAGCTGGACAAAACAGCCCTGCAGACTACAGCTAGGATATCTGAATCTTCTTCGAATCCCCCAAGACAGCGCCCCTTACCAGCAGGAAGTAGTTTGGAAAGAACGACGCCCAAATTCCCAAATATTGTGTATAAATGTTTGTTTTCATTTAATTGGACTTTGTTATATAAAATTAAATAAAAATAAATAAATAAAAAAAATAAAAATAAAAAAAAAATGATTGGCCCACATCACGCGGGCTCTTGATGCTATGATTGGTTTACAATGCACAGGCTTTGTTGTAAACCCTATAAAAGCTGTTCAATTCTGTACTCAGGGTCTTTAGTCCTCTACCCCTGCGAGGCACATGACTGTGGACCCCAGTGCACTTGGAATATGAAAGACCTCATGCTGTTGCATCAAGACTGCTTCTTGTGAGTGATTTGGGGTGTCACCTTTCCTGAATCGGAGCATGATGGTCTAAGCTCTGTGGGTCTTTCAGTGAACACACACCTGGGCCTATCCTTCCTGAAGGAGGCAAGGAGTTCTACTAGTGATACATTGTTGTAGCCCATCTTTGTGGGGCTTCAGTCAGATCCAGCAGACTTACTTGCCTGGTTCATACCTGAGAGGGGGAGTGTGGATTGAGAAATAGCAAGTAAAGACTCTAAGAAAAAGACAAAAGCCAGAAGAGTCAGGAGGGCAATCCAATAAATACTAAACACACCCAGTTTATTCTTCAACATTTTTATATACCCCAACCAAAAAGGGGAAAATGGCAAAAAGACTTTTTTATCTTGTACAAGGAACAAACAGACTTTCTTCCTTAATTCTCCAAACATTGGAAAACATGCCTTAGACTAAATCTCATTATCTAGCCTTGAGGGTTAAGAGTAACCACACCTCAGAGCATGTCTCCTGTTATTTAGATAAGCCTCTGAGCGTGAGACCCTCATACACATACATACACCACACATACACACTCATACATGCCTCCTCAGCTGCTGTGATTGCACTGCAACTGGTGCTGAGGACACTCTTATCCCATGACCTACACACACTGGAGCCCAGTGAATGACATCACAGCCCCCAAGTGTCCATGAGGTGTCCACGTGGGCCCTGAGACAGCCCAGGGCTCCTTCCTCAAGCTCCAGTGGCATCTCAGGAACTGCATCTGACACCTGGATGATCCCGACCTTGATTCAGGTTTCTAGTTCAGGGTCCTGAAGTCCCCAGGAAATGCCTACTTGTCACCAGCAGCCACCAGCCACTCAGAGATGCTAGAGACTCATCACTGCTGTGGCTGGAGTTGGGGTGATGGTGTATGGATGACAGGTGCGACAACCCCCTCCAGATAGGCAGGTGACAGGTGTGATGAGCCTCAGGTGTGCAAGTGACAGTATGATGACCCCAGGCGTGCAGGTGACAGATGTGATGACCCTGAGTATGCAGGTGACAATCGTAATGACCCCAGTATAGTGAGGTGACTCCATAATGATGACCTGCACTCTAGCATGAAGGAGCCTCATGACTTTCGGCCCAGGCCCCACCCCCTCCAGGAGCTAACCAGCCCCGAGCTGCACAGCCACCCCTGGAGACGGGCTCACTTGAGACCTTCCAGCACTTTCTGTCATGCGTCTGCCAGTGGGCCCAGGTCCCCTCACCCTTCCCCGCCCCCCCCCCCCCCGCAGGACTCCAACTCTCAGAGCGCAGGCTAACACTCCACGGCTCCCCGGATCTCAGAAGCAGCCGCCGGGAACACTCTTGTCTCCGCCCCCTCGCCCCGCTCCTCCCTTCCCCGCCCCCATTACGCATGCACGCAGCATGTTCTCCATGAGCGCCGTTGTACCCCGTAGTCTCCGGCTCCTACTCCACGGCCTTGCCCCTCGGAGCCCCGCGCCGCCCTTGCAATGGCCGGTCCGAGCGGTCATCGCAGACATCCGGGTCCTCGGGAGCTGGGGAAGAGGTGGCTCGCACGACCGGGGCTGGGCGAGCGGCGCCAACGGGGAGGGCGAGGGGGAGGAGCCCGAGGAGGAGGAGCTGCTGAGCGCGGAGCCACTGCTGCCCACGGCCTCCCAGCGCGTGTGCGTCCTGCATCCTGACGTCAAGGGCCGGGCCGGAAGGACGCCGCGGCACACAGGTACCGGAAGGACAAGGGCGGGCCCGGAGGGGTCGTCCTGGAGGGGCAGGAAGGCGGAAATACGTCACCGGAAGGGCAGGCCAGGACCGAGCGGGTACGCCAGAAGAGGAGGGGACCCTCCCGGAGGGGCGTGAAGGCGAGGGAGGCAGTGAAGAGGGTTAGCCGGGACACTAGGGCGGAAGTGCGTACTGAAGCCGGAAGAGAGGTGTTGCAGACTTGACGAAGGCGAGCTGATTGGGCAGGGATGAAGAGGCGGAGCCACGAGAAAGGAAGGTGATGGAGAAGCCAGGGGAGGCGAAACTGTGATGTGCATCCGGAAGAGGGCGGAGTTTGGGAGTTGGCCAGGGGCGGTGTCCTGTTGAGCATGGGGCGGGGGCTTCGGGCGGGGCCTGGATGACGGTGGGCGGTGCTTGGCTAGCCAGGCGCGGAGTCTAGGCGAGCACGGGGCGGGGTTTGGCTAACTGGGTTTCTTCCTGGCACTCCTGGCCATGGCTGCAGGCTCTGCGATGTTCCTGGATCTGTGCGATCCGCGGCCCCCAACGGACGCCGTCTGTACTCTCTTATCTCTTAGAGTTGCAGGTGGCGGAGGCTGCCGCGCTGGTGCACGCGCTGCACGGCTGGTCGGTGGTACTGACCCTAGTGGTGCCCACCAGAGTCCCCGACAGCAGGCTCGTCTTCGGCAAGGGCAACTTCCAAGACCTGACTGGTGAGTCGCCCCGGCCCGACCCTGTGGACAGCAGAGCCATGATCAGCAGAGCCGGGACCCATGGCGGGTCCCAGGGTTATGAACCCCACCGATGTGGGGAGACACCCCACCCACCCGCGGGTCTCAGGGCAGACCTGCACTGGTGAATGGTAGGAGGATGTAGGAAGTGCCACTTACTTGCACACGTGACCCCACCTCCACCTATGGGTCCCAGCCTGACTTTGAGAACCTGATGCTTTCCAGAGCAGGACCCCCTATCTATCCCACACACACACTATATGTTCCTGCCTGTGCAGTACTGTGTGCATGCTTGGGCTACACACTCCGTATTCGTGTGCAAGTCCTCTGTGTGCATATCTGTGCATCCCTCTGTGTTCATGCATGGACAGTGCAAGTGTGTCCCTCCAGGTGTGTGTGTGTGTGTGTGTGTGTGTGTGTGTGTGTGTGTGTGTAGCCATCTGTGCATAGCCATCTGTGCAATCCTGAGTGCATATCTACCTGTTCAGTCCTGTGTCTGTGTGTGTGTGTGTGTATGAGATTTCCTCTGTGTGCATATGTGTGTGCAATTCTCTGTTTGTATGTGAGGGTGTGCTTCCCTCTGTGTACATGTGTGCAGCCTCCTGTATACATGTGTGTGGTCCTCCCATGTGTAGGATGTGCAGCCCCAGCACAGCCTGCCTCTGACAGAACTTTCTCTACCCACCAGAGAAGATCAGGGGGTGTCCAGACATCACGTCTGTCTTCCTGAATGTGGAGAGGATGGCCACACCAACCAAGGTACAGCAGCAGCATGAGCAGAGGATGGTTCTGACACCATGCCTGAGACGACAGCAGGTGGTCAGCTGTGAGAACACAGAGCCACGGGGCCTCACCACCCCTTCCTCTGAGCTCGGCCGCAGGCCCCAGGTCCCCTGACTACCCATATGCCGGCCTCTCTGTAGAAGGAACTGGAGGCTGCCTGGGGCGTGGAGGTGTTTGACAGATTCACCATCGTCCTGCACATCTTCCGCTGTAACGCCCGCACGAAGGAGGCGAGGCTGCAGTTGGCACTTGCTGAAATCCCCCTCCTCAGGTGGGTCATCCCCACCCGCCTTAGTCTTTATTGAGGTGAACATGGGACAGGTGGTACATCTGGATCTCCACAGAGGCCCCAGCTCTGCACCCCCTTGGCAGCTGAAGCTCTAGGAGGGCTTGGCTGTGGCCAGCAGAGACCATAGTGCCAATAGCCACGAAACATATGTTTCAATCCCAGGTCTACCTTGAGCAGACGCTCTGCCTGGCTGGACCATGAGGGAAGGGGCTCCCGGTACATCATGGGGTCAGGTAAGGGTGCTATCACAGTGTCCCAGCTGTTGAGGTGGGGAGTACTGGCCACATGATGTGCTGACCCTGATAGACAGGTGTGCTCACCTGTGTACAGTTGTGCTGCCCTGTGATGACTGTGACTTATCAATGACAGCCTACTGTGTGTGGACTGGCCTGCTGGTCACTGTGCGCATTCACATCTGTAGCAGGCAGACTTACTGACCTCTGGAAGAGCTGGCCAACCCCTTGCTTCTAGTGCAGGAGTTGTGAGTGAGTGGGTTAGCATTTCAGTCTGTGAGTGGCTGCTGTGATCCCAAGTTCGAGGATCCAGTGACCCAGTAGTGGCTCCATTTGGTGAGCCAGGAATGACACACTACCCCACAAATCAGTGCATGGCCTGGTTTGGGGACCATGGGGGGCGGGAGTTCTTGAGAATGTGGCACTGACACCCGCAGGATTCCCAGGAGCACCGCCACCCCTAGCTCCTTCACAGCCATTCGAGTGTCTATGCCCACAGGGGAGTCATTCACAGAGCTGCGGCACCGGGTAATGAAGGAGAAGGAAGCAAAGATCAGACGTGCCCTGGAGCGGTTGCGGGACAAGCGGAGCCTGCTGAGGAGGCAGCGCACACAGCGCGAGTTCCCCATAGTATCTGTGGTCGGCTACACTAACTGCGGTGAGGGTGCCCAGGATGCAGCACCGCATCTCAGGAAGGCACACGGGTGGGTCGCTGAGATGCAACACTACCTCTCAGCACAGGGCACACGTAGGAGGGTTCCCGGGGACGCCAATCTCATTGCAAGGCATGTGTGGAGGGACCATGATCCCTGCCTTAGGAGGGTGCAGTACCCGCATCTCAACACAGGACACACATGGGTCCCCAGATCTCATCTTGTGTCCTCCCGCACCCCAGGGAAAACCACGCTCATCAAGGCCCTGACGGGTGAGGCTGCCATGCAGCCATGCAACCAGCTGTTTGCGACCCTGGACGTCACAGCGCACGCAGGGTCGCTGCCTTCGCGTATACCTGTCCTGTACGTGGACACCATTGGCTTCCTGTCTCAGCTGCCACACAGCCTGATCCAATCCTTCTCCGCCACGCTGGAGGACGTGGCACATTCGGTGCGCATCTGCGTGGGCCGGGTGTCCTCAGGGACAGGTCACTTACGTGGGCATGTTCCTCAAGAAGTGGGCACTTCCGGTCCCCAGACCGCTCGTCCCCTCCCAAAGGGACCTAGTGCCTGAGGCTGACCGCTGGTCCTGCATGCAGGACGTCATCATGCACGTGAGGGATATGAGTCACCCCAACACAGAGCAGCAGAAGACCAGTGTCCTATCTACACTGCAGAGTCTGCAGCTGCCCTCTGCTCTCCTGGATTCCATGTTGGAAGTTCACAACAAAGTAGACCTGGTTCCTGGGTGAGTTGGGGGACGGGGGTGGAGCTGGCTGGCTGGGTCCTTGGTCTGTGATTATCTACACTTACACTGCAAGTGTCTACATAGCCCCACCATTCCCGTGATCCAGAGTCCCTTGCACACAGGTATAGTCCCTCGGGCTCAGGTGTCCTGGCTGTGTCTGCACTCCTGGGGCATGGACTAGACGAGCTGAAGGTGGCGCTGGAGAAATCGGTCCTGCAGGCCACCGGTAGGCAGGTCCTCACCCTCTGCGTGCAGCTTGGTGGTCCCCAACTCAGGTGAGTCCTAGAGCACCTGTGCAGTGTGCACACGTGCTACATGCCCCACCTGTCAGCTGTCAGCACACATCGTGGCAGGCACCCCAGTGACAGCTCTTCTTCCCACAGCTGGCTGTACAAGGAGGCCACTGTGCAGCACGTGCAAGAGCTGCCCGAAACCGGTGCTGCTCACGTGACCGTCATCATCAGTCGGGCTGCCTATGGCAGGTTCCGGAAGCTGTTCCCTGAGTGACAACCGATAGTCCCTCCCAGATTGGCTGGCAGCTCATTAAAACAGGATTTGCACTCTCCCCATTCTCCTCAGCATAGTGTGTCAGTCAAGGCTGCATAGAGGGTCCGTGTAACTGGGGGAAGTGGGCGGGAAGAACACTAAGGGGAGGAGGACAGACATATTCCCCCCACCCCAGTTGGGCCTCTGAACCATATGACAGTTCCATTCTCTGAGCTCCAGACTGCAGCTTTGCTGCAGACTAGGATGGAAGGTGGGGCATCCAACCTCAGGGAACACCTTTTAACTCTTTGACCTGAAAAACTGCACTAATATTGAGGTCACAAGTCACATGTCAGGTTTCTGTGTGGGGATGGTAGAAATTTCCAACAAGCATCCGATGCTAATTTAGTGGGTAGAGTGGTTATGGCTCAGCACTTGGGATGCTTGCTACTCACTTAGAGTGCTCACCTTGCTGGCACCACACAAACCAAGTAAGGTGGTGGTTCCCATGGAAACTGAGGCAGGAAAAAAACAGGTCAAGGTTGTCCCCCGCATCTCACCAATGAGAGTCTAGCCTGAGCTATGGGAGATGATACACAAACACACTGTCACAGACACGGTTGGCTTCGGAAGATTTTAATTAATGGAGATGCTGATCGCAGGGTGAAGCGAACCCGTGTGACAGGCCACATGACCTCTGTAGGTGCTGGGATGGTGATGTGGGAGGCTCTGGAACTTCAGTCTGCGGGAGTCCTGGTGGCCGGAAATGACCAGCAGGCTGCTTCGCAATCTCCGAGAGATGGAAACCTACACCCGCTAGTGTCGACACAGGCTGGCCCGGGCCTCAGGCCTTCACAGGGGACGAAAAGACATTCCCCATGTTTCTGGATAGATCTGTGAGCTCTGTAACTCTGACCTGAGCCCCACACCTTGGGTCCCCATGGGGATGGGGCAGTCAGGGCCACAGCAGCTTACAGTTGTGTCCTATGGTGTGACTCACAAAAGTGTCAGTGCCCACAGAGTCCCACGCGATGATGTTGATGCAGCAGGAGCCCGGCCCCGGCCACTGCTCTCTCATCCATGCTTTCAGGAACAGGAGGTTGGGCAATGTCATCTTCTCCAGGGACCCAGATGGGTACTCCACATTCTCTGTAAGGTTGATGCCTGCCACGAACAGGCCACCTGGGAGGGAGGGGTGCCGTGATGCAAGGGCCCACATCACAGCCCACCACCCTGTCCCACGTGACATCAGTGCCCTCCCACTCCCAGACTGACAGGAGACATCCCCACAGACTCCGACCTCCATCCTTACCTGACAGGTGATGTCCCCATAGACTCCCCCTATCCCCACCTGACTGACAAGGTATCTTCACAGACTTCCACCCTAGGCTGCGTCCTGGGTGGCACCTGGGCAATCGCAGCTCTTCATGGTTTCCAAGTAACTCAGCAGCCCTGTGACTTACCTTGTCCCCTCACCAGTAGGGGATTCCAGGCCACAGCTCTGTATAACGACCCACAGAGGCCTCGTCCTCGTAGGACTCGATGACCTGCTGGCCCCAGGGCCCACAGCTGCCACAGCATGCAAATATCCTGCACGAAAGGGGCCGCTTGAGGCTGCAGACCAGGTGGCACTGGATCCAGGTGGCCCTGAGAGGTCATGTGCCCACACCCCTCCTCATCCCAGGCAGACGCGGCATGTCCCCCGAAAGAATGTTCTTGATGCAGCCCGCGAGGTATTTGTGCAGTTCAGCTGTCTGTCATCCCCTTGAAATTTCTTCAGGCCAGGATGACGACCTCACAGGGCTGCAACTCCAGCCACTAGGAGATCTCTGTGAGGGTGCTCTGGAGACATCATGGGAAATTGTCTCAGAGCCTGGCGGACAGTGATCCCTTTCTACCTAGTCCCTCAGACTTCATGTGTCTGGCTTTGCTTGGAAAATGCTTGTTACATGGCATTGTGTTCAATTTTTTTTATTCAAAACATCGATAAGTGTATAACTAAAAACATTGCACATCATCCCTGCTGTCACAAAGAACGTGTCTTATTAAAGGTGAAGCATGGAGACCAGGGTACCAAACTTGTATTTCTGATGAAGACACATAATATATAGTCTCCAGCTAGGAACATGTTCTTAGCCAGATTCCCTGTGCTCCCTGATGGGTCCGTACTTAGGAGACTTAGCTGTAAAGGCAAATGCTTTCAGAACTGTCTTTAAGCCTGTCACTGAAACCTGCAGGCTCAGCAAAGAGACAAAATGGGGTGGTGGCAGTTAGTGAACAGACCCAAGACTTCAGCTGGTGCAGCACACATATATTGTACAAGTATATATTCTAGCCAAACTGCCACCATCATATAGAGTCCAGCTACACATACTTGGGAAATATCATCACATCTGGGCTCGTCGTTGCCTGGGAATGTTCTCCTAGAAAAGGGGCCCAGGGAGGGTCCTGGGATTTTCACCTGAGTTTCCAATCACTGCTCCCCACAAGTCATATGCAATTTTATGTGTGGCCTCAGAGAGGAGCTAGAGTATATAATATAGCTGGAAGAGTCTGGTGGAGGGGGCGCCACATACACGGCCATGGGAAAACCATTCTCCAGGCTGGGTTCAAACTGGTGGCTTCTTTAGGGTCACCCACTCTCCTGCCCATAACCCCTCATCCATAATTTGTAAATAACCCTAATAAATTCATTGGTTCCGAGAGATGAACATTGAGGAATTATGAGGAAGGGAGGTAGACCTTGACAAGCCCACTTACAAAGTGTCAGCTTCTTATAAGGTATATAAGACCTTGAGCCATGTATCACTGCCAGAAACCTATTATCTAATGACTAAAGAGAAAGGGCAGCAATCCCTTGCTTGTTTTATTGATGAAGGAACCAGACTCCGGAAACAGAAATACCAGTAAAACACAGCCTTGCTGAAACCCGGGATCGAACCAGGGACCTTTAGATCTTCAGTCTAACGCTCTCCCAACTGAGCTATTTCAGCTAAGACACAGGGAGCTTCCTACCTGATCCAAGAGAAATTTAAAGGAAAAAGAAAAACCTCAGGTGACTTCACCTAATTTTTGATTTTCTAATTTCCCTTTTAGAGCTGTATGATTTCTACCTTTGCCGTTTTGAGAACAATGATAAAATTAATTCCTACCAGGGAGTGTTCTGCTGCATCTCCAGTTACCATCACATTTAATTCATACAGTTTCCCTACCCCTATTCAGGGTCCCAAAGAGATAAAATACCTGGTGTATATAGCATGGCCTGAAGGTCCCATTCAACCCTCAGGTCTGCTGGAAGGTCTGTGCGATCATAATTCTTAAACAGAGTAACTAATCATCCAAATCTGTCCGAAGCCTGAAGGATCGAGACAGACTTCAGTGTTTAGTCTATCGCCTTTTGGAGAAGGGTACATGCAAACCATAGCTGAAAGCAGGCAGCAGTAACAAAGCAGTGTTCCGCACCAGCCTGGCCTGAAAAGCATGGAAGCAAAGAGTGGAGAGTTCCACTGCTCAATCGTGGACTAGCTTGTACTTCCCAATGGTGTCTCTGAGTAAGAAGAGTCTGTATTTGTTATAGGCACTTGCTGTTTCTCCCCTTAGTATGCCTTCTCGGTCTCAAGATTCACTATCTGCTATGATGGCTTTGTTGCAGAAAGCAAAGATGTGTTACATTCGTTTATGCTGTGGAACATTTGTTTTAATGATGCAAAGATGTGTTGCATTCTTGTTGTATTTGTTGAACTCTGTGAAGCTGTGTCATTTTTGCCTGTCTAAAACACCTGATGGTCCAATAAAGAGCTGAGCAATGGCTAGACAGGAACAAGGATAGATGGAGCTGGCAGGCAGAGAGAACAAATAGAAGGAGAAATCAGGAAAAAGCAAGAGAGATCAAGGAGTGAGGAAAAAAAAAAGGGGGGGGGGTCAGCCACCCAGGCACACATTCAACCATGGAGTAAGAGTGAAAGTAAGATATACAGAAGAAAAGGAAAAAGCCCAGAGGCAAAAAAAGAAAAAAGATAGCCAGGATAATTTAAGAAAAGCTGGCTAGAAACAAGCCGTACTAAGGCTGGGCGTTCATAAGTAAGAATAAACCTCCATGTGTGTGATTTATTTGGGAACAAAGTGATGCCCTCCATCCCCCGAAAATAGCCAAAGAGTAAGAAGCAACGACTTTGTATAAATTTTGTTGAATATGTGCTTTGACAACTTCATACATGTATGAACTGTGTTCTGATTTACAGTCACCCCCCTACCCTGTGTAGTCTCCCTGGGAGCCCTACTGTTAGTCTCTTGCCCACATTCATGTTTTCTGGATTTGTTCATCTGTTGTTTTGTGTTTGGGTTGGGTTTCAGTTTTTGAGACTTATTGACTTTAACCAAGGTCATCTGTGTGACCATGGATGTGGAACAATCCTTCACAGATTAGTGGGTACACAACTTATCATTAACGATAATGAATGCCCGGTCCTCAGAATCCGGATGATGGTGATTTTTCCAAAAGCCGAATCTCAACCTGCTGTCCACTTGGATGAGTGACCACTGTTTCTCCTTTAACAAATACCAACAAAGCCCTGCGGCTATGGGCCTATGATTTTAGGAATATTACGTATATGTTTCTTTGAAACTATTCCTTGCCCATTTCAACACACATTTTCTTATTTCATCACCAGATTAGTAATTATCACATACATCTGCTTGCCTTTAGACTCTACTAAGCCTGTGAGTGTATTCTGGTCTCGTTTAATCATCACAGGTTTATTGAGATGGAAGCCAAGGTAATGATTCCTTTACTTCAGTGAAGACTGCTTGTAGTGAGGAAGAGGAGGTCGTCGTGAGGTCTGTGTGGATCTTGCGTGAAGCATCGCTGTGAGGGGGGTGAAGACCCTGTTTCACATTCAAGTTCCACCTCCAACCTTTCTCAGGACATTCTAGGCTTTTCGAGGGAGGCTGACTTAACTCCCCATCCAGTTGAGGAGGTCTGCTTTATTCTGTGGCTTGCCTGAATCAAGAAAGACTCAATCTGTGTCAAGCAAGGAGTGTCTTCTCCTACCAGGAAAAATTGCTTCAACTCGGGGAACT